GTCTGTATAATCATGTAATACTAAAACACAAAAGATGTTTGTATGATCATGTAATACTAAAACACAAAAGATGTCTGTATAATCATGTAATACTAAAACACAAAAGATGTCTGTATAATCATGTAATACTAAAACACAAAAGACGTCTGTATAATCATGTAATACTAAAACACAAAAGATGTCTGTATAATCATGTAATACTAAAACACAAGACGTCTGTATAATCATGTAATACTAAAACACAAAAGACGTCTGTATAATCATGTAATACTAAAACATAAGAGACGTCTGTATAATCATGTAATACTAAAACACAAAAGACGTTTGTATTTTACACTTATGTTCACAGAATTTTGAAAATATGTACAAAACAAGAGGATTTAAAAAATGATTTGTTACGAATGAGATAAGTAGCAGTTGAAAAAGGATTTAACCCAAATATTGTAGATAGAGCAGTTAATAAATTCACTAATGTTGTGATAATATGTCAGATTATTACTTTAAAACCTAGTTATGATAAAATTAAAACAGAATGTTTAATTTTGCCATATGTTCCAGGTTTAACTACTAGTTTATATAAAGTGCTTAAAAAAACAAATAGTTTACCATATATTTAAACTGATGAATTTTAGGTAATCTAAACATAATATGCAGTTAACAGAAAATGCTTGAATTTATAAAATTCAACAATGTGGAAGTATTGGACAGACAAAACATAATTTTGAATTTACATAACATAAGGAATGTGTAAGAAATAAAAAGAATGAAAATTCAGTCATAGTAGAGCATGTACAAAAATCACAACATAGATATTATGGGGAAAAATAGTATTATTGGCTCAACCAATAGGTATTAGAGCCAATAACATTCGTGAATCTTTGGAAATAATAAAGTAGAAATAGATTATAAATTATTAGATAGAGATGAAGGTCCAGCAGATATCTGTGTAAGAATGTGGCAGAACTTGCAAAAATGGTTAACTTACATACGGGTCACATGACTTGGTTAAAAAAAAAGGTATAAATATTACACTGTTATATCTTGTAATTTCACTCCTGATAACAATGTTGAAATTTTGAAACATGTAGAATCTATTTTTTGAATTTAAAATGGTTTTAATTGTATATCTATTTTAACATTGTTATCTATTATTTTAGCATTATACACAGAAAACAATACTTGTAAATTTATTTATACTCAAGATATGTCTTTGAATTAATTACACAATTCTGAATCAGGCTCTGACAAATCAGAGTGCAAGGTGATGTTCACGTGAAAAAAAAACAAAAAAACTCTCGTCCATCACAAAGTTTGTATTTGCATAACTCTAGAACCTCTAAAATCATATCAAAAGTTTTTTCACTATCTCTGTATCTTGTATTTACTCTCCTCTACAATGTATTGTTGCTAAATCAGTAATGTAGAGTAAAATGAATAGTAGATAAATCCATCAAATACTATGTTGAATATCACTCTATAAAAGATCATGGCATGCACATTTTGACCCCCATAGGCTTAAAGGACATAACAGTTAGCAGATGAACTCTCACCTCAGAAACCTGAAACTTAAATAAGAAATATTAGGAAGGAATTTCTGTTATAGTAATATCTTTTCGTTAAGTAGAAATATATGAGTAGTATTTTTTTTAAAGAAAGAGGTTTGTATTATGACAGAGTACAAGTTTTCTGTCCAATCAATATGATGTTTTCATATTCAGAATTACTCTACTTTCAGGACACTGTGTTACAGAATTGATCATTATTGATCTAATTTTTCCAGTGCATATGCTCAAGTAATCAATTGAACTGGAAGATCTAGTCATTGACTGACTAATATAGAAAGAAATGTATTTTTTGTACTTTGTGGTGGAAGTGTAGTGTATTTTGTACAGAGGACTAATAAAAAATTTATATTATTCAGAAGCTTGCCTATGCTTGTACTTTATATCTTGATGCTACAATAAAGCAGATTAGTATAGAATGGTAATATTTCTTGCTACTTGCACCATCTGTAAGTAATGAGATCAAATACCAGTGATTTTTTTCATGTTTTTAATATTTAGCCTACTATTCCATCTTTATATATATTAAAGCTCATTTCATATAAAGATTGAATAGTAGGCTAAGTGTTAAAAACAGTGAGGTAAAAATGAAAATTTGGAACAGTAACTTGGGCTTTTTAATCTAAACTTTATAAAAATTCTCTGAAGAGTGTTTAACACAGACTAACATTTGCACCAAGTTGGTATTTTTTACTCAACTTCAGTACATTATATGGTTCTACTTCTAAACTTTCTCTATAATTTATCTTATTTGTTTGCTGGTATAAACTGGTACATTTATCATTGTGCTAATATTTAATAGGGCTTTATAAACCACATTATTATTAAATGATTTATTTTAGGCCACAAGATAATAAAACAAATATACACCTGGAAAAAAGTTAAGCACCCCGTGTTTTTTTCAAGGGATTCAGATTCGACGTTCTTGTGAATGATAATGGCTGGAGACGGCTTAAATGGGTAATGAAGAAAAACTTTAATATAAT